AAAAAAAAGCCAGGCATTATGGTGGGCGCCTGTAGTCCCAGCTATTTGGGAGGCAGAGGCAAGAGAATCACTTAAACCCAGTAGTTGGAGGTAGCTGTGAGCTGTGATGCCACAGCACTCTACCCAGGGTGACAGCCTGAGCCTATGTCTCAAAAAAGAAAGAAAGAAATACATGCTGGAAAACATGTAACAAAAAGAAAATCATAGATATTTAAATAGCTCCTAAAACTTAATTCAGTTGAACCATTTAAGTTTCAATATAAAGCCTAGAAATTATAGTATATTTCATTTAGAATATGTATATATTTAGAATATTTCATCCAGAAAAATGCATATATTAATAAATAATAATAAATCTTAGAAAATATAACTGAAATATAAAATACATAGATAAATAGATGGTACTAAGCTTAAAAAATATATAGGTAAAATCTTATTTCAATCATATACCAGTCTGTTGGCCTGATACTATTGTAAAAGAATTTATCCTCAGATAAGAGGGCAGCATAGTTTATGACAATGATCTGCCTAAAAGCTCATTACATGCAGAATCAGTAGTGAGTAATCTGATGAGTCTTTAGGCAAGCTCCATTTTTAAAACTGCAATAACAGAGAGATTTGCTGTCATCTGATAAACATCAATTAGAGAAGGTAAGGCCACAAGGAAGACTAACATCACTCATCACCCACCACTGGCAGCTGAAATGATTTTTCTTCTAAGCTTGAATGATCAGGCGCTATAGTCATACTGTATGGAAATTAATTTAGTTTCCATATTCTGAATTCACTGTGGTTTGTTCTGGTGACCTAAACACAAATTACTTTTAATCAAAGTTGATATGTTATTAATACCAAGAAGGATCTTTAAAGAATCATTTCTTTTTTAAATCAACTTTAGTGTTTCTCACCAGAGTTTGGGGTATAAATATAAGAAGGTTACATGTGTCATCCTTACTTTCTGGATTCTTTGTCCACTACAAGGCATTGTACTGAGTAGCAAAGACAATAGATTCCACTAAACACAGCACACATCCTAAGAAGACAGTAGAAAAATGAGACTTATGATAATTGGGTTAAAAATTAACATAAAAGCATTTCCTTTTATGCATCTTCCTTTTTTGTAATTGGTATTATAGAAAAAGCATTTTGGTAATTATTTTCTCTATCATGGTAATAAGAATGTGTCAGAAGTAAGATTAGAATCAATTTTTTTTTTTTTTAAGACACAGTATCATCTGTTGCCCAGGCTGGAGTGCTATAGTGCCAGCTTAGCTTACAGCAATCTCAAACTCTTGGGCTCAAGTGATCCTCCTGAATCAGTCTCCCAAGAAGCTGAGAGCATAGACACTGGCCATGCTGTCCAGCTAATCTATTTTTAGTAGAGATGAAGTCTTGTTTTTGTTCAAGCTGGTCTCAAACTCCTGAGTTCAAAAGGGATCTTCCTGCCTTGGCTTTCCAGAGTGCTAGGATTACAGGCATGAGCCACCATGCTGAGCCTAAGATTATAATATCCTGAAAAAGCAGAAGTTCTAGTGTTAATAAAAAGTTTATGCTTAGCTCTGTTAGCAAACTAAAAGTGTCCCATGCAAGGGTTAAACATCTCCCCACCAAAACCAGCTTCTGAATACCTAACATTCATAGATTACATCTAGCCTAAAGAGGCCATGTACCTGAGACATACAACAGAAATCACTATAGAAGTGATGAAGGAAGAAGTATTTTTTTTTTTTTTGAGACAGAGCCTCAAGCTGTCCCCCTGGCTAGAGTGCCGTGGCATCACAGCTCACAGTAACCTCCAACTCCTGGGCTCAAACGAGGCTCCTGCTTCAGTCTTCCAAGTAGCTGGGACCACAGAGGCCCACCACAACGCCCAGCTATTTTTTGGTTGCAGCCATCATTGTTGTTTGGCGGGCCCAGGCTGGATTCGAACCCACCACCTTAGGTGTATGTGGCTGGAGCCTTGGCCACTTGAGCCACAGGTGCCAAGCCAGGAAGAAGTATTAAGGAACAACCAATCTGGGAAATCTTTGGGAGATATGTAGAGCTTTTACTTACCATAAAAGTAAGCAAAATCATAACTTGTCTTAAACTACACTACAAATTGAAAACTAAAGCAGTAATCACAGAAATTAATGTAATAGGAGCTCTAAAAAATTTGCCTATCTCAGTTGTCATCTAAATATGCCCATACAGGAAGAGCCTTTAAATTCAAATAAGACAGGAAGTAAAAAAGAAGATACTCTTTTAAAACATCTGGATTTTTAAATGGCTACACTTCAGTTAAAGGTGATTTAGAATGAAATCCATTTATGAAAAGAAGGTGAAAGCAAATAAACAAAACAAAAAATCCATTTATTCTTAAGCCCTGGGTGGAAGAAGATTATAACTCTGGATTTATAACCAGTGGTCTGCCCACATACAGGTTGGGGTTTGGAAATTATACCACTACATAATCCAAAAATTCCTTAACAAATAAAAATATCATGCAGAGTAGCTCAGTATTAGTGAGAAGTAATCCTGGAGCCTTGGTGGAAAAAACTGCTAAAGCTTTCTGGTGAGATGAGATTTCTAGGCCATTTAAGATTGTCACAGATAGAATTCCTTGATGATCAGTTTATAATCTAAAATTATATACTAAATATGAAGAAACATATTTTACCTTGAGTGAGAATTAACAGACACAACAGCAGGATTAAACTCCCCAAAACTTTATTCAGGGCTCGGCGCCTGTGGCTCAAGCGGCTAGGGTGCCAGCCACATACACCTGAGTTGGTGGGTTCAAATTCAGCCTGGGGCCACCAAACAACATGAGGGCTGCAACTAAAAAATAGCCAGGTATTGTGGCAGGTGCCTGTGGTCCCAGCTACTTGGGAGATGGAGGCAGGAGAATCTCTTGAGCCCAGGAGGTAGAGGTTGCTGTGAGCTGTGATGCCACAGCACTCTACCCAGGGTGACAGCTTGAGGCTCTGTCTCAAAAAAAAAAAAAAAAAAAAAACTTTATTCAGATAGAACTACCTGATTGAGATTATAAAATGAGTATGCTTAATATAGATGAATCAAAAACATAAGAATAATGGAATGTTCAGAAACACAGCTGCAATAGTGTCCCCCACCCCTTCAAGTTGTCCACATCTCAATCCTTAGCATCTGTGAATATGTTATTGTACATGACAAGAATGACTTGCTAATGTGATTAAATTAAGGATCTAGAAAAGGGGAGATTATCCTGGTAAGTACAACATAATGACAAATATCTTAAGAAAAGGAGGCAGGAAGATCAAAGGTGGAGAAGATATGAAGAAAAGAGCAGAGGTCAAATTGATGCTACTTCTAGAAAGGTGGGCACAGGCCAAGGCAAACAGGCAGCCTCTAGAATGGTAGTTTCTAACCAGTGTGCCACTAGTGTGCCATGAGAGGATCTTAGATGCTCCATAAAAATTTTTAAAGATCATTAATTAAATTATTTTTGAAAGAAGTTCAAATCACAGTAATTATATATTTTTTGTACTCTTTTACTGATCAAGATAATTTAACTGTGTTGTGGAAGTTTAACTATAGATTCAAGTATGCTGTGAAATATAAAAGGTTGAAAAATACTGCTCTGGAAGTTATAAGAGGCAAGAAACAGATTCATCACTAGAGCCCTGAAACAGATGCAGCCTGACCAACTCATTTAAACTTATGACTTCCAAGACTATAAGATAATATGCATATTTGGGTTGTTTTAAGTCACTAAGTTTGCTAATGGCAGAGATAGAAAACTAATAAAAATACTTGTGAATATATGGAAGTGATTATGACAGAAATGGTATTACAAAACAGTGGGGGAAAGAATACACCATTGAAAAAATAAGTTGGAGAAAACAAGTTATCCATGTGAGGAAAATATTATATCCCTAATTTATATCATATTCAAAATTAGTTCCAGGTAGCTGAAGAAAGGCATCAACATAAAAAGCAAAACTTTTAAGAAAATATGAAAGGATATATTTATGAGCTCAGAGAAGTGATTTAATTCAATAAGATGTGCTAATCATAAAAAAAGATTTTAAAAATTGGAGTACTTTATAAATATCTGGACAAGAAAGTAAAATGACAAAGCACAGACTGGTAAAGAGATATGCAGATATATTACTGAATATTTATACATTAGTTTTTTTTTTTTTTTTTTTTTTTTTTTGTATACATTAGTTTCAATTAAAATGTGGCAATATCTAGTAATAATGAAGATGCATACATCTGCAGTGTGGCAATCAACTGTTAGGTATAGATTTTACAAAGTCACTCATATTTGTGTATAGACAAATGTACATAAAAACATTGGTTGCTTTACCCTTTTAGGGAACATTATTATAGTGCTTAAGAGGCAGGATGCTTACTGGCTGAGTTCATATGTGAACTGGTCCACCTGCTAGATGTGTGATCCTGATTATTTAGCTTCTTTGTATCCTATGTTTCTCACATGTAGAATAAAAATAGCATTTATTCATATAAGATTTTCTGAGAATTAAATGAATCAATATTTTAAAGAAGTTAGACAGTAGCCTGCACAAAATATTACATAAATATTTGTTAATGAAATATATAAAATAGGGCTAGGCACAGTGGCTCAAGTGTAATCTTTACACTCTGGGGAGGCTGAAGTAGAAGGAATACTTGAACTCAGAAGTGTGAGACTAGCCTGAGCAAGAGCAAGACCCTGTGTTTACTAAAAATATAAAAAATAGCCTGGCTTTGTGGCAGATGCCTGTAGTACCAACTACTCAGGAGGCTGCGGCAGAAGGATCTCTTGAGCCAGGAGTTTGAGGTTGCAGTTAACTATAATGATGCTACTGTACTCTACCCAGGGTGACAGAGCAAAACTGTCTCAATCAACCAATCAATAAAATATATACTATTTTATATACAGCGTGTCCATAAATATTTTAAATTGCACACGAACTTTATGGACACCATGTATATCACACAAGACCCAAAAATCCATCCATAAAATGGACAAATGAAAATGTAGTATATTCACATGAGTAGTAAAAAACTTCACCTTTTCGCAAAAGAGGTCTAGCCTTTGTCCTAGGCTTCTAGGGGGTGATCTCTAAACCACTGGAATCTCATACCACCTGGGTCACCAGGGAGGAACTGCCCTACCTTTTGTGTCACCCCAGGGAGTGGTAGTGAGGTGGGACTGGGGAGGCGAGGGCAGGAGAACGATGTGTGGTGGAGAGAAGCTAGTGTGGCAAAAGCCCACCAGTCTGTAGTTAGTTGAGGGAGATCATGGAAAACCCTGTGCCACTGCCCATGCCCACCCCAGAACCACCCATGGACCTAGAAAGCCCTCCTCTGGCTGCACTCCTCCCCTATGAGCATTTCACAGGCCTGAAGGTGAGACAGGGATCCCCATTTGGGGATAAAAGGGGAACACACCCCCCATTTCCTAGGCCTGGACAATTTCATTTAAGTTTCCTGGGCCTGGGAAATTTCATGAAGAAAAGGGCTAATTCACCTTGCCCCTAGCTGAAGGGACTGTATCCTTTCACTAATGTGTTTGTTTATCTTACCCAAGCAGAAAGGACTGTATCTATTCATTTGTTACCAAGTCCTAGCCAAATGTAACTACAAAGGACACAAGAGACTATACTTACCACTAGACAAAGGATGGAGGTGGAGATTTTCTGACTGTGTCTTTCCCTCTGCCAGAGCTCTGCTTTTTCTGTATTTCTCTTTGGCTAATAAATCCTGTCTTACCACTGCTTTTTAGTCCATGGGTTCATTCTTTGAATCCACAAGACCAAGTACCTACTGAAGAAAGAAATTCTGGTAACACCTGAAAGGAATATCTTTATTTGACTGGGGGCACTGGGTTACCAGTCTAACAATATGGTTTAGACAGCCAGGGTCGGCCACACCACATAGTCTTAGGGTGGGGTATGGCCATGTCAGAAAGACCAAAAATATGATTTAGGGTAGGGTCTGTGGGTCAAATATAAATCAGTCAACACCAGAGAAGCTGGAGACTGAGATCAAGCCCAAGGGCA